CCATTTTACAGATGAGGATGCTAAGAATCAGAGAGGTCAAGTGCAGATCAGAGCCAGAACTCAAACCTGGGTCTGTTTAACCCCAGAGGCCACGATTGTTCCTTTTTTACAAAACGGGGTCCACCCATCCCAGAAGGTGCTTAAAACAAGTCATTGGAGCATAGCTGTATTCAGAACTCTTCTTTTCTACCTGTGTCTCTTTTTCCTATGTGTCTCCTTTACTACTCACACAAAACACTTCCCTTCTGACATTTCTGGTCACCAAACGTATGGGTTCTTTCCCCACACCAAGCAATTCTCTGCAACACCAGCTGGGTGTCCTACAACATAAGTTGATTTTAACACTATCTATCCGGAGATATTATCAGATACTGCGGGTTAAGGATTCAGTCCCACAAGACTATCCCCCACCCCTTCAGAGGCTAACTGCAAGTATTAAGTCCCCAGTTTATCCACAACTTCTGTCTGATTTGGCTACAAATCAGAGGCTTCCACGACCCCCTCAAACAATTTGCTCAAGAGGCTCCCGGAACTCAGGGAAGCACTTACATTGAGCAGTTTACTGTAGGATATGATGAAGGCTACAGAATAACAGCCAGAGGAAGAGACACAGAGGGCTCGAGGTCTGAGCAGGTCCCGAGGGCAGGAGCTCCTGTCCTCTCGGAGTCGGCATGCATTCCCCAAGGGGTGTGAGTGTGTTTGCCAACTTAGAAGCTCTCCGAGCCCCATACTATTGGGATTTTCATGGATGCTTCCTCACGTAGGCACGAACAGTCATGGACTCCATTTTGAGCCCCTCTCCCGTCTCAAGAGAATGAGGGTGGGCTGGAAATGCCCAGCTTCTGATGGGGGCTTGGTCTTTCTGGTGACCAGACCCCCTCCAGGAGCCATCCAGGAGCTCCCCAGAAGCACCTTATTGGAGCAAGAGCTATTCCTGTCACCTAATAATTATAGAGGTTTCAGGAGCCTTGTGTCAGGAACTGGGGTCAAAGACCAAATATTAGTACAAAGGATGCTCCTGGAGCTCTTGTCACTCAGGAAATTCTGGACGAGGGTTTCACGAGCTCTGTGCTGGGAACTGGGGGCAGAGACTGATATAAATCCCTTATTATCTCACAGTAGTGAAAAACTACCTTTTTAAATTACGTATTTTTTAGCTTATCTTTCACTTTTAATTATAGTGTATATTTTATTATAATATATAAAGACTACTATAATAAATTAGTTAAAATTAGCCTAATCAGTAGCCAATAGGCAGTTTTTAAGGAGCCCAACATAGAGCTTGCCTTTCTCCACACTGGAAGTTAGACCTGAGAGAGACAGAAGGACCTGGGAATTGAAAAACACACTGTCAGCTTTCCTCTTGAGAGAGCATGGGAGAATCTGGCTTAGGTGAGGTGTGGAGCCGTCATGGGTTTCCTCAGCCTGCATCCCAGAATTTGACGTGCTCCCTGAAAAGCACAGGACTCACTCCTTTTGTGGGGGCTCCTTTTATAACTAAGCCTCCCGCTGACTGGGGCCAGGTGGAAGAGGTATTCCCTGAGGATATCTGATCCCAAACAGGAGAGAAGGAGGCATGTGCTATGCTTTATGGTCTCTTGCTCCCCTCGATATCAATCATTGGGGGGAACTGCCTCTTCTCACCTAGGGAGAGAGAAGGCTGGAGTGTTATTCTTGTGGGGCCCCCTTCAAGTGGAAAAGAGCACCAAGCATGGAGCGTAGGAATTTACTACCTAAAAACAGAGTACATGATATATTCATTTAGTAATACGTATGCTTATATACTACATATATACTACATTTTTTTTAAAGATTTTTTTATTTATTTGACAGACAGAGATCACAAGTAGACAGAGAGGCAGGCAGAGAGACAGGGGGAAGCAGGCTCCCCGCTGAGCAGAGAGCCCGATGTGTGGCTCGATCCCAGGACCCTGAGATCATGACCCGAGCGAAAGGCAGAGGCTTTAACCCACTGAGCCAACTAGGCGCCCCGATGCTACATTTTTTTATTGACCAAACTCACTGAAAACTGTTTGATGATGACTATTGTAAACTATACTGTATGAGTGTGGCCAAGTTCCATGCAGTTGAAAGGAAGCCAGAGAACATAGTTAATGGTAGGATCTGAGTCTGAATTGGAGGAGAACCTAGGCTTTATTAACTCGCACTGGAATGTTCTGAACACTGCTATTAATTTACAGGTCTCTAAAGGAGAACTTGTTTATAAGGCAGAAAACAAATTGCATTCCTTCAGGCTATTTTCTGAAGTTTCTTACGTGGGGCAATTTCACTATGGAGAAACACATTCAGATTGCTTCAGGTTGGACCAATAGCCAGCAGGTAACCTTGACGTTCTTGAGTAGCTTTCCAGTCAAGGAAGTATTTTGTACTGGCGATGTTGTGAAGGTAGGCCTTGAAGACGGGGTTGCAGTGAGGGACAGAGTCACAGCTGGCATCAGGGTAAGGAATCAGCTAAGGATGGTGGCTCAGACACAATTCAAGGGAGAGTTGAATCGTAGACTTTGACATTTTCCAGAGTTTATGACATGAAACACTGTTCCTGCTAAATGATCTGTGAATGGTTTCACCATCAAGTCTGTTTGAGGAACCCACTATAAAAAGCCCCCTCTCAGATGTTCACACTGCATGTTATTATGTGAAGCTTTGAGATGTCCGGTGTGTCCACAGAACACTTACTTCAGAATATCTATGAATATATGTTCTGGAAAACACAGTTTGAAAAATGCTGAAAGGTGGGGGAATTATAAATTTGGAAGCTGTGATGGTCTATTAAGGTCACAGGCTTTGGAGTTAGATATCCAAGTTCAACCTCTTACTAGCTGTGACTATAGATAAACTTAATCTCTTAGACTATTAATTTACATCCATAAAACAGGCATAACAATTCCTACCTGGAACTGTAGCGAAGGTTGAAGAGAGAATATCTATTAAGTACCCAGCCGATAGCTTGGACTCCACAGAAGTTAGACCTTTTGCCTTAATTATAGAGTTAGGTGTTTGGAAGGGGAATCATTTTTTGAATAAGATTTTGAGTCCAGGAGCTAATTATATCAGGATGAGATATAGATTTTGATTAGCATTTGCGAGGGGACATAGTATGGGATAAATGAGTCAGCTTTAGGACCAGACACTATCTGCTGGCTCTGTGACACGTTGGTGTGGTGCTTTCACCTTTCTGAAATGTACATAGTGCCTTCATATATAAAATGCAGGTATCTACCTACAGCATTCTGAGGATGAAATAGGAGTGTCTGTAGCCTGGAACAGAGTAAATGCTCTGAAAAATAATGGTGACATGGCTAATAATAGTATATGAAGCACCATTTTTTAAAGACTTTGCGGGGGCGGGGGCGGGGGCGAAAGGCAGAGGGAGAGGGAGAAACCAAGTCCCTGTTGAGCAGGGAGCCTAATGCAGGGCTTGATCCCTGGGATCATGACCTGAGCCGAAGGCAGAACACATAACCAACCACTCAAGCATCCCATATGAAGCACCATTTTGAACACTTAGACTACCCCAGGCAATGTGCTGAGTCTGGCCATTTCTCAGAAGTGGAGTATGCAGACCACTTCCTCATAATGTAGTTTTAAAGGATGCAGATTTTTGCTGATTCTGACTCTCCGGGGTTGCAGCCCGGGAGTGTGGACTCTGACAAGCTCCCTAAGTTGTATGGTCACTAAAATTTGAGAGCCGTTGACTGGGAGGCACAGGTTGTAAGATGGTGAGGAACAGCTGGGCCAGATGGATACTAACTAGAGAAGTGATGGACATTAAACACCCTGGGTTAGAAGAGTGGTCCCATGACCTGAGTCTTGGACACACAGATTTACCATGACCCCTTACAGGGTCATGGTAAGGAGAGTGGGAGGGAATGTGTGTGAAGGTGTGTGTGACAGCTAGATTGTGTTTGGCCTGGCATTTCTGAAGCAGTATAATGCGAAAGGCGAACATGTCAGTTCCAACTGAGACCTGAAGGCGATGGGTAAGCAGCCCCTGAGAGTAAGTCAGGTTTGGTTCCTGACCGTGGTCCAGTCCCCATCCCATCCCATACAGGGAGGGGAGGGGTCAGGTGCCCCTGCATGCCTGCCTCACAAATCCCATGCCATGACCAGTTGCATTCTTAAGAACGACCACAGTTAGTTTGGAAGATTTGGGAGAAAAGGCTCCCAAGGGATGGGGGGCTGAAGAGCATCATGATTCTTCCTTCTTAGGGGACCAGAGATTAATACAGGAATGACCATTATTCTTAAGGTCGGTCAGCTCGTTGCATTCTTTGAAAGGGAGGGTGAATATTGAATGTAAATTTCCCCTTTCTATGTTCTTCTGTCCAGAGCCTCTGCTGGTTCTATTCTTCTCTCTCTAGGCAGGTGGGTGGCATTGTCATTTTGTTTAATGATTCACCTGAGGCCAAGGAGGCTCCACATTGGGGGTTGGTGTGGCCTTGCCTCTGCCCTTGGGAAGGTAATAACACATCAGGCAATGCCCTCTAGCTCCCCGGAGCAGATGGCGTGAGCAGTCCCAGCAGCCCAGCCATGGCTGCCCTCCTCCCCCCAACCACATGCTCTAGCCCAGCAGTAGGTAACACCGGTGAGAGGTTCAAGACACCTTAAATGTGTGAAGTTTTCCATCTTCAGGCACAGAGCTGAGACTATGTGGGAGACACCCCGTGATCTAATAAGGACGCTTTCCCGTAGCTTCTGGACACCGCAACTCAAAGAATCAAGATGCACTAGGACCCAGAGAAGTCACCCCTACTCACCCTGGCTTCTGTTCTTTGAGCCCAAAACGCCAGGGCACAAAGCTATGCGCCTCTTCTTTAGCCAAATGAAATCCATGGACACGGCCTCTTCACAATGAAGCTTGAAACCAGTCAAGCATTTTTATTAAAAAAAAAAAAAAAAAGGAAAAAGAAAAAGAAAAAGTCTAATGGTATATAGTCTATACATGCTACAGCTAATCGTTTGCCACCCCTCCCCCCTCACATTATATATCCTCGTGTATTTTTGTGTGTTAACAGGAAACAAAAATCACCACCAGAATTTGCCAGTTTGCCAAGAGGGTATGAGGAGGGCCGTGATATTCGGGGGATCTCCAGCATCACTCTATGAGCAGGCGTGAGGAGGTGGGCCTGTCAGAGCCCCACTGTTATTCCTGGAGGGACACACGAAGTGGCCTAGTGACTTGGTGGTGCTTGGAAGCAGGAAACGTAGGGATAGCTAAGGTGACCATAGTTTATCATCTCCCCTGTGCAAGTGAAAGGGGCACAATTAACAGTTACAGGGGCACAGAGGCATAGACAGGCACACACAGGGGCAAGAAAATCTATGGACACCTAGTTGTGTCAGAATTGCTTATTGCTCTAATAAGCCTGGTGGTAGCGGTGGGGGGTACCTCCGTCTGTATGTTGACAGAAGGCCTGAAAGTGAAGGCTATTGGCTGTGGCACTGGGTTTGGCCTCCTTGAGGACAACAGAATTTGAGTCACTTGTCCTGATTGGCGCTCAGAAGCCTACTTTGGAGTAGACGACAGAGACAGGAAGGAAAGAGGGAAAGCCGACACATGATGACGGTAGCACCAGAAACCAGACATTACCCTAAGGAGCTGCATGTTTGAGTCTGTGGGAAGGGTCCTCAACAGGTGGTCCATGAGCAGGTGAAGACTGTGGAGCCTCTGGGTTTTAACTCTGGGTCTGTCACAGGCTGTGGTCCATCTGTCAGAACCTCAGCCAAGTTAGGAGCAATTCCTCCAGGCTGACGGAGGGCATCCTAAACCCTCAGGTGTCCATGTGAGCCAAGTTCCCACTCCTCCGGGCCAGAGTTTGACACTAGGTCATCTTTGGTCTATCGTACGGTATGGCTGGTTTGCAGCAAAAACTCTGACAGACGGGCCTGGACAACAAAGGGCGAGTGACAAGACTGCCACGCGTGGTTCAGGCTGTTATGTAGCCACTGCCAGTCCAAAGAGAAGGGCAAGACCTCCCAGGGAGCAGCCTGACCCAACCCTGACAGACTTGGGCACAATAAAAGGATGGGAGCCATGCCAAAAATGTTCCTGCTCTTGATGATGTCGAATTACCAGATGATGTTGAGGGCTGGAGCAACTTCTTTATCCCACTCAGTGCTTTGTTATTGACAAAGTCCATGCCTCAGCCTCAGGACCTTCCAAAACTTGGGGAGATTCAGCCCCTGCCCTTTCATGTGGCAAGTCAGTTTTCCTACACTCCACCTGGTACTGAGATCCCCAGTGGGCTCAGACACGTTTTAAGGCCAAAAATTTTGCCTAAGAAATTGGTGACATGGGGAGGCCCTGTGGTGAGGCTTAAAGTGATCACTGGAAACTCGCTAAGGGCTCTAGCCATTCCTCAGTGAGGTAGGGCATTAAAAGTGGTTCAAGTCGGAGCCCAGCTCCTCCATCTCAGCCTGGGACAATGATGTAAACCCACCAAAGGGCAGAGATCTTGAGGGAAACATTTTGCCAAGTGGTGGATCCTAAAACTCAGATTTTCCAAAGATTTCTCGGCACTATAAGCTGTGGTTTTCACATGCTCACCTTTTGGGCTGGCATTTGGCCTGTGACCTACTGCCATTGGATCGTGGGGTGAAGGGAGGAGAAACCTGTCATGGGGGGGTCACCTGCTTCCCTGGAAATGCCATGCACATTTTGCTGCCATTGGCAGAAGAAAAAGCACGGGCACTGGAGAGAAGGCACCCCTGGGTTCAAGTCTCAGCGGAGTCATGATCTGGATGAGACTGGGCACGTGACTTCACCCTGTGAACCTCAACTTTTTCCCCACAGCTCAGGGCTGATCCCAGGCACCTCAGAGGGTTGTCATCAGGGTTAAGTTAGAGGAGGGAGTTGAAACACCAGGGACCTGCCTGGAGCTTGGCATGGGAGTTATAACTGGCCTGGGACATTCTCTGTGGGCATAACCTCAGGGGAGTTTTGTACCGCCTCCATCAGGTTGCTGACAAGATGGCGGCCACAGGGCTGGGTGCTGTGATGCTAAATCATCGGCCAAGACAGCCAGGGAGAGCCACTGGCCACCAGACACCCATCCCCCTTCTGGTCGCTCGTGCAAGTGCCCACCATGTGGCACACAGAGCCCGAGAGAGGAGTCCCCAGGCCATGGATGCGTCCTGAGCAAAGAACGGTGAACAGAGAGGAATGTGGCTTCAGTACCTTCAGTTCACGTCAGGATAACAATAACAGTAACAATAACAATAATAAAAAGGCAAGTTCTTTCATTTGCAGGAACACTTCTGCCCACAGAAAGGTGGAACTAGTAGTCTATTCCCACTCGGCTGACCTTCAGGAGGAGGGAATGAGGCCAAAGACAAACCCTTTATGTGGAAGCAGCAAAAACCTCAGCTCGCAGAGCCAGGCAGGGAGCCACACGGGTTCTGGTCTGCCCGGCGCCGAGCATGTGGTAGGTGCTCACAAAATACTTGAAAAGGTCACAGAAAGCAGAGTGTGAATGGGGGGGGGAGGCTGAGTTCTGTCTTTTGAAATGTAGTCAATTCTGCATAACAGTTTCATAAAAGCTGTTTAAGCCAAAGTGGGTCAAAAAACTCTGGAAAACATGCTATGGGCTTCCTTCCAAATGTGGGGACCTCGAAGATGTGGGTGGCCTTCTCCCAGCTTTCCTTCTTTCCCCAACTGCCATCCTCCCCCACAGTTCTGGGCACAGGGCCAAGGGGCAAGTGGGCACTGCTAGAGGCACCTCAGGGCCCTGCCCCCCAGGTCCTCAGGGTGGGGTTCACAGATCGACTGAAGGAAGGAATAAAGATGCTCCCGTGAATCAGAGAATGCTCCTTCTCCTGTAGAAGCCTCCAGAGTCCATGTGGCCGTGGGGGGTAGGAAGAGCAGAAAAGGGCTGTGTGCACCGAAATCTTTGGCACTGCAGGCGGACAGTGGGTGTCCACGGGAAAGCTGGCCCTGCGGTCCCCAAAGCATCATAGCAGATGGACACTGAATCGGAGATCTCCGAGCTGGGTCCTCTTCTGCAGGGCAGGGTGGGATGAAGAAGGGTTCTGCCCTCTCACCCGCCAGGCAGCCTGGTCCATGGGCGAGAACTCTGGGCTGGGAGCCGGAAACCCTGGGTCCTGATTCTAATTCTGCAATGTCGCTGTGCCTCTATGTGCCTCAGTGAACCGTGTCTGTCCAAATGGAAGCAAGAGGACAGACAGGGAGAGTGCATGCACAAAAAGGAAACAGAGAAAAGTACTCTATGAATGCCAGAGAGCAGGAAGAAGCAAGTCTTTGAGCCATCAGGGCCCCTGGAGGCTGGCATGGGAGACCACCTCAGCTCCACAAGTTTTATCCTCCAGAGGGGGCACCTGCACAGCAGCAGGAAACAAGGTCCTGTGGCAACCGCCAGAGCTCTGGGCAAACTCCCCCTCTCCCCGCCACCCACCATGGAGGAGAAGCTGTGGAGGGTGCGGGGCAGGCTTCAGTGTGAGCTGCAGTGGGTTGGAGGGGTGGTAGGTGTGGGAGCAGACACTAATGCCCCCTCACCCACACCACAAGCAAGCCATTTGGCCACCTGCTCTTGGCACTTAGCATCTTCCCTTTCCCTGACCGGTTAGGCTGCTACTGGGGGAAGGGCACGGGCATGGAAGTCAGGCCAGCCTCAAGTCCTCTTTCCTCTTCTTCCTAATTAGTGTACCCACCCTTGGGCACAGAGTCCGAGGTTCTCTGTCCATCACAGGTGCAATATCCCAAGAGAGGATTGATGTGAGGATGTAATGTCAAGTGCCAAGGACAGAGTCTGGTACCTACTAGCTACCTAGCGAAGGGGTGCTCCCAAGGGGCGTGGATTGTGAACCGCTCCTTTCAAAGCAACTTTGAGATTCTTGTTCTACGGAGACAAATGTGAAATGGCCCAAGGTGGGGTGGAAATTTCTATTTAAAAAGCCCTGTGCAGGACGGTGAAGCATGCTGGGGCTGGAAGCACCCCTCTGGGATCTGTCAGGGTCCCAGAAGATGGGAGGCGGAATGTCTCAGTGGACCTTCGGGCCCACTCCTGGGGCAGCTGCATCTGGCGAACCTGAGAGGCTCACAGGTCCAGAGCCTCTCAGGGTCCAGAGGAGGACATCTCTCTGGGACTGGCAATGGAGCCAACTTCCAGGGCAGGAATTCTTCCTGGTACCCACCATTTTGGAAATGGAGTAAATAAAGTCCCTGGACTTTTAGAAACATGGAGAAGTTGGAGCCAGCCATCACAGACTGGGTGGGGTACCAGCAATGAGACGGTTTCTGCAGTTTCCAGACAATGGGTTCTGGTCTTGGAGGCCTTGGAGAGTCACGGTCCTGCTGTTAGGTGGCCTACAGAGGGTGGCAATGCCACTGGCCTTAAGGCAGGGTTGCTGACCTGGAGAGGAAGCAGGGGGTGTGGCCTCTGAGCCTCCAGGCCATGCTGCAGTGAGGGGGACTGCTCTCCACCCAAGGGAGGGAAGAAACCACAGTGCTCTAGAGTCTTCCTTCCTTTGAAGCTGCATGAAGGGTGATAAATTAAATACGTGGGTAAAGCCAGCAGAGATGCATGGGATTGCCAGGCAGGGAAGGAGGTGGCTATGGCTTCTTTTTGAGATAGTTGGAAGGAATCCACCCTTCCCAGGAAGGGGCCCCGCTCAGGACTTGGCAGAACCACCAGCCACTGCTGTTCTTTTCCCGGACCTCGAACACCGTCCCCTCCTGGAAGCTGCTGGTATCTCCGTCTCCTTCAAAGTTGGCCACTGCCACATATAAAGAGTCCTTCAGGCCATCAGCATTGGGAAAAGGGGTTGCAGCTAGTTTCTCTCTGTTCTCTCCGATCTTGCCCACCATCCGTGGTCCCAGACCACCTCTGCCTCGCATGTCATCTTGGCTGCCTGAGGAATTAGAAAGAAAAGGTTTGGCTTTAGGAGGGACCAGCAGGGCCCGACCTGGGGCAGGAGCTGCCTTGCCTTCACTGGCTTCCCGTTGTGGCCCTCTGACCTCTGGGAGGGGCCTGGAGGCTGAAGAGGTTTTCTTAGGGGGTGGTGGTCTCCGGGGCAGGACCACAGGTCTCTGCGGGGGAGCCTCTTGGACAGGGGCAGGCACACTCTTCGGCACCGGATCTGTGGTCTTGGCTGGCCTTGGAGGGGCTCTGCAGGACATCTCCTTTGGGCTGAGCCCATCCTGTCTGCCCGTCCGGTCCTGGGCATGGCCAGGCCCATCACCTGGGAGGAAACTCCGGCTGAAGGCCACATCTTGGCCCCCGACAGCCTGGGGGCTGCTCTCTCCATCCAGAGAGGGCTTCTCTTGGGACTTGGCGGGCCTCAGCTTGCTCCTGAGGTTGCAGATATCCACTTGGTCTTCGCCCTGAGGTGGCTCTGTCCTCGGGGAAGGAGCTGGCTTGGGCCTAACCTGAGGTTTGGACTTCAAGAAGGGATTCTGGGAAATAACTTCTGGCTTCTCCTCCGGTGGGTCAGCTTTGGGCTTGGAGATGGGTCGGAGGTTGGGCTTCTTCACCTCCTTGGCTAAGACCTTGTGGCCACACTCTAGCCCCATCTCATTTTTCAGCTGGAACAACTTGCTTTTGTCAGGTTTGGGCTCTGGCCTCCTGCTGTCCCGGGCCGGGGGCGTGTGTTTGGCTGGAATCATTGGCAAAATCATGCCCGGAGGTTTGGGCGAGGAGCCCCTGAGCTGCTCCATCCTCTGCCGCTCCCTCTCCTGCAGCTCCCCTTCTGATTTGATGATGGATTCTTTCCGGGGAGGGAGGCTGGGCTTCTCCTCCAGGTCGGGGCTTGAGATCTCTTCGTAGCCGGCGCATGAGGACATGTCGGAAGACGCCTTCCTCAGGGCCTCCTTGCCGCCCTTCCAGTCTTTGGACCACGGCATCCCGGAGTCCACAGCAGCGTGTGGTGCATCGGGCAAGGGCCGGGAGGGGCCGATGGCCTCACTGCCCATGTTGGTCTCCACGGCTGCTGCATCCTGGGTCACCTCGTTGGGCAAGGGAGCCAGAAAGTTGGGTCTTGAGGCATTGCTGGTCTTCTTATACTTGTCAATGAAGGTTGCCGGGGCCCATCCTTCCTTATCTTCAATCTGAATATACCACCAGCCACTCAAGTTCTTCTCGATCACCTGCAGGGGAGGAAAAAGGAGAACACTTAGTAGCCAAAGCCTCAGGGCCAGTGGACCAGAATACTCGGGGAGAACCGAGAATCTAGAATCCTCCTAGAATCTAGAAGTGGGGTTTTTCACTCAGCAGATTCCCAGACAATGGCTGGGGTGGACCATCTCTGAAGACCTTCCCGTGTATTGGAAACAGCTTACATGGGGGTAGGTTCTTGTCTAATTTTGGATATCCCTCAAAGCAGTCCTGGAGACACAGACTTGGGTACAGGTAATTAATTTGAGAGGTGATTTCAAGAAGCCCAAGTAAGGAAATGGGAAAAGAGAGAGCTAATTCTAAGCTTATTTTTCTGACCCATGGGGACTTAATCGACCAGGGACCCTTTAAGACCCAGCAGACTCATCCCAACTGAGGCATTGGGCCACTTACCTCCCGATCCCTAGTCCCTGCCCCTCCACCCCAGGGCTTTAACGCCCCCAGCCTTTCTGGGTAGGTGCCTTCAGGCAGGTGGAGGAGATGAGAGGCTGTTGGATGCAGGGACCTGTAGCTGCAGGTCAGCTCGGGTGGGTCGGGATGCAGGGCAGGCCAGCAGCAGGGTCTGCTATGTTTCTAAAGAAGTGCAAGGCAAAATCCACTTAGCCAAAGCTAGCCTTGATCGTGGCTCTTTTGGTTGAGCCCCAGACGACGCATTTGGCTGGTGATCAGAGGCCATGCGGCATGAAAAATGCATACTTTAAAAAAAATTACTTATTTGAGAGAGAGAGAGAGAGAGATAGCAAGAGATAGCAGGAGCAGGGAGGAGAGGGAGAAGGAGACTCCCAGCTGAGCAGTGAGCCCGATGTGGGGTTCAATTCCAGGACCCTGGGATCATGAACTGAGCCAAAGACAGACCCTTAACCAACTGAGCTACACAGGCGCCCCAAAATGCATACCCTTGAACATGGGAATCACACTCGGCTCGTGTTTAGATAGACAGGAACCCCTGCTGATGAAGGCAAAAGAAATTTTCATCTTCTCTCCTTCTCCCTCTGGGATCTGCCCATTGAATGAACAGTGGGCAGAATCACCCACAAAATTTAAGGTCTCATGTTTCCTGTCTCCTCTTTGTGCCATACTGGGTTAACTGAAAGGTGTGTCTGCTGCGTGTTATGGGCTGAACTGTGTCCTCTTCAAATTCCTGTGTTGAAGCCCTAACTCCTATCTTAGAATGTGATGGGATGTGGAGACAGAACCTTTTAAGAGGTAATTAAATCAAAATGAGGTCATATGGGTGGGCCCTTAGCTAACATGACTGATGTGCTTGTAAGAGATCAGGAACCAGAGAACACACAGAACAAGAGATGACCACGTGTAAACACAGCAAGAAGGCAGCTGCCTTTAAGCCAAGGAGAGAGGTTTCTTGAGAAACTGAACCTGCTGCCACTCTGATCTTGGACTTCCAGCCTCTGAAACTGTGAGGAAATAAATCTGTTGTTTAAACCACCCAGCCTGTGATATTTTGTGATGGCAGCTGGAGCAAACTAATAGGCTGCAATTCCCTGGCAGGCCCTCTGCGTAGGAGATCTTGATGAATGCTTGCTGCCACCTTACGAGATGGGGATTATTGTTCCATTTTATAGATGCAGAACTGAGCCTCAGGACAACTGAGGAATTGGCAGAGGGTCATGAGGAAAGTTAACAGCGGAGGCGGGAGTCAAAGGCAGGTCGGTGGGTTCCAGAGTCAGCCTTTACCACTACTCAACCGTGCCTGGGCAAGGGGACCAGCCTGGAGAGGAGCTGTGCTTGAGGTGGGCAAGGGCTGGGGGCGAAGGGGGCCACGGGTGGGGTCCTGCCACCGCCTACCTCTGTCCAGCCCAGCTGGAGAGGAAAGGCAGCAGCAGACCCGGTGCAGGAGACAGAGTCTGGGTTCTAGTTTAGCTCCATCTTCTGTTGCCTGCAGGGCCTTGTGCAAGCCATGGGGCTGAGATTCCACAGCCAGGGATGGGGAGGCTGGCGAGAACAGTAACACACAGTTGTGGGATTTTCATGATGACCACATAAGCTAATGCAGACAATAGCTCTTGATAAATGCTGCAAGGTAAATGTTCCCTATTATTATATCACAGGGCAGATCACGGACAAGGCAGGTTGCATGTGACAGGTGTATACTTAATGTGTCCCACTGGTTTCCCAGAAGGGGTGCTGATAAAGGCCAGCCCTTTATGTGACGGTGACCAGTGTCTCACCAACACTTGGTAGCTCCGGTAACAAAGTGATTCTGGGCATACAAGTTACTGTCGGCACAGCCACAAATTCAACAACGCTGTGTATGTGAGAAAATGAAAATAGGACAATAATCACAGTGAAATATATGAAAGGGGATTTGCTGAGCTTACACTCTATGCAAATACTATGGCAGAAGCTCGAAACATTTGTGTTCTTGATCACAATTTCTGGGAGTTTTCGTTTACTAGAGAGAAGCCAAGAACTGTTATGAATAAGAGCAAATGCTAAATCACAAGAATGGAGGCGGAAGAAAAGAGCTGGGCTTTAAAACCAGAGACCTGGGTTCAAACTCTAGCTCTACAGCTTACCAGCTGTAGAACCCTGGGCAATGGACCTAACTTCTCTTTGTCTCAGGTACATCTGTAAAATGGGCTAAATATATCATAGAAGTCTTGGGGCTTCTATGAAGACCAGTTATCAAGCATGTATGGTCCCAGGCACAGAATTATCATCATCATCAGCATGTGTCTGAAACATACAAAGACCAGGCAAGGAGGACCTAAGCTGTTCCTAGTAGCTCCACTGCTAGACCACGGCGGATACATTAATGAACTCTGAAGGCCAAGATGAGATTGAAACGAACCAGGAATCAAAAGTGGGAAAGAGGAAAATATTAGCAAGTACAGAATGGCTCAAGAAAAGAATACTTGGTAAAGCCAAAAACTGTAGTGGTAACTACTTCCCATTTGGGTCCCCTGAGCTGCCACTGGCAGAGCCATAGGCTGATGTCATGGAACAATCAGCAGAGAAGTTTCACGGTTTGGTTAAAAGAATGTTGGGTATGTGAGCTTTTTTATTGGATCAGCTTTAGCGAAGAGAGACAGGACACAGAGCTAGAAATAAAAAAAAGGACTGGTTCTCATTGAAGCGGGGAAGGGACCAGGAGGGAGGCTCAGAAAGCCTCAGGGATCCCCTGAACTCCCTGTGGCATGCAGACTCAGTCCACAGCTTCAGGGCATTGTCCATGACATCCTGGGTTGCCCTTGGCTGATTTCAGAACATTCTGAGCCAGGGAGTGGTGGTGCCTATCGGCAAATGTTCAGATTCCCAGCATGCATGGAACAATGGTGTGTGTTTGTACAAAATGCTGGAAACTCATTGTCTTAAAGGACAGGGTGGTTTTATTGTGTTTTTCAGTGCTCTGAGGGGGTGGGAAAAAAAACCCAAACCTTCATACTACGCAAGCTGGATTTCTGGTTTCAGTGAGAGAGATGGAGTGAACAGCGGCTTCCCCTTTATGCAACACATCCAGGGAAATAAATGAGTACAAAGCCAAGCTCAGAAGGAGGAGGTAGGGTGGGGGGAAGTTAGTGGACCAGGAACTGTGAGGACTCACAGAGGGACAGAAGCAGTAGAGGGAGGCTGTGGCCCATGCCTGTTACAGGGGTTCCTGCTACAGAAGGTGGAGGAAGGCTGAGGTCCCCCAGACTTTAAGGTGGTGGAACCCGGGGATAGGGAGGTGCAAGACCAAGTAACAGGGAATTAACTGACATACGGCGGCAGAAGCAGCCAGTTGTGGGTGCTCTCATGCACCTTACCCCATTCTTTTGGGACAGGCAGAATAAAGAAGGTGATTTGCTCCCAAGTGAACGTGGGATTATGGATCAGGGACACCCAACCCCGTTCAGTGGCTGGATCGGAAGTCCCCCCACCTGGCCCTGAGACCCATGGCAGGTGTCCAGCACTTTCCATACATGCCCCAGCTGGGCTGTCTGACTGCTGCCTCGCCTTGCGCAGCCCAAGGCGAGTACTAACACCATGAGAAGAACCGAAAGGCACACCAGCACTGTGGCAAAGGACATACAGCTGAGGAAGGAGATAATGGACCCTAATAATAGGAGCTTAAATTCAATGTATTTAGTACAGAAGGTACAGAAGGGCATCGCGTTCCTAAAAGAACAGCTTATGCTGAAACAAGAACAGGCAACCGGAAGAGGAATTGGTAAGAAGTCTCAGAAGTGGAAATTACAATTGCGGAGTTAAAATCGGCAACAGACTGAACTGTTAAATGAGCTAGAAGGTGAAGCGGAATGCTCCAGGAATGCAGCACAAAGGCCCAAAGATGGAAAATGCGAAAGGAAAGCTAAGAGATGTGGAGCGCAGGGCCAGAAGGTCGCATAGCTGTGTAATAATAACCAGCCCGGGAGGAAAGAATAGAGAGAGTGAAGGGATGCAATGTTTACAGGGTAAAAGTGGGGAATTATCTGGAAAGATCTCCTGAGGCCAGGATCGTAAAGGCTCACCACATGCCAAGCAGGATAAAAAAAAAAAGTCACACCGAGACACACTTTAGTGAAATTCCAGCATATTAAAGATAATGAGGAACTCTTGAGAGAATTGGAGAAAGGACAGGTACCGAGCAAGAGAACAAGGATTAGGTAGGTAGCAGCTTTTCAGCCGTGGCACTAGATGTGAGGGGAGAACAGAGGCTGTTCCAAGCGCTGAGGGAAGAGGACTTTCACTTTGGAAGACAAAACCCACAAAGTCACTGAAGAAGGAGGTGAAAACCACACTTACTTCTCATGATGTCAAGAAAGCACGTACGGAGGCACCTGGGAGGCTCAGTCAGTTAAGCATCTGCCTTTGGCTTGGGTCATGATCCCAGGGTTCTGGGATTGAGCCCCCACATCGGGCTTCCTGCTCAGTTGGGGGTCTGCTTCTCCCTCTCCCTCTGCCCTTCCCCTCTATTTGTGCTTTCTCCCTCACTCTCTCTCAAATAAATAAAATCTTATAAAAAAAAAAAAAAAAGAAAGCATATACAGAAGTCAAGGACTGCCCTCAGGTAAAGACTGAGACATATGGCCCCACACAGAAGCCAGACAGGGCAGGGAAGGGAAACCAATGTCAATTAGGGGAGGCTTTGCAGAGGAAGCAGGGATTTGAAGAATGAGTTGGATTTTGAGATGCCAAGTTCAGTTCAAAAACTGACCTTGACTGCCTCCTATGAGAAGGCAGGTGGAGTGCTAGGAGCTGGGTTACAGCAAGGTCATTCCTGGCAGGAAGAGTAAGAGAGCTGGGGAAGGGCCAGCTTAACCAGCAGGGATTGCAAAAAAGCAATGGGAACAGGCTTTGGAGGAAGCTCTGAGATAAAAAGACGTTAAGGAGAAGGCACATGCTTCATGTGAGAATTGGATGTATGAGTTTTACAACAGCAAAATGGGGGACCTGGGTGTAGAATGATCTTATAGCATAAGCAAGATGCCTTGTGAGTTCTCTCTGTAGATTTGAAGTTGGGAAGGTCAGAATGGAAGGAAAATAAAAGGACAAGAGAAACAGATAAGAGGCCTTTTAGAACTTTGTGGGTATTTCTGCTCTCCCCTCAGTCTGCCTACATAGACTGGGATTTGCATTTTATAGAAATTAGTTTGAGAGATTTTTAGCTCAAGCTCTTTAAACATCCCCACAGACAGCCTTCCTTCAATGGGTTGAAAGACAGTTGGCTTGAGGACAAGCTTCTGGAAAGGCCTGGGCGGAATCAGTGGTGGTGAGGCCCAGGATCCGTCTTTAGAAAGCTACCTTCTTCTGGGCTGACTGTGCTGGTCCCCTGGGGCACGAGGGGAAAGATAGAGAAAGGCAGGAGGTGTCGGTGCTTTGCACACCTGGTAGAGAGTGATTCAAGACCCTCAGGGCACACCACATTCACACACTGACACAACAGTCCCCCATTTACTCCTTATTTCCTTCAGTCATACCAACATTTATTCCTACAGCAACGGTTTGCTGAGCGCCTACTGTGGACCGGCCCCGATGCTAGGGCTATGGGTAAGAATGAAGAGGACACTCCCTGGCCTTCTGAATGTTAAGCAGGAGGCTAGTGGGGAGACAGATTTTCATCAGTTCAACAATATTCCTTCCAAACACTGTGCTAGCTGTAAAGATACAGGAGTGAAAACCAGAAATGATCTCTACCCTCCTGGAGCTCCCAAATGTCCGGCAGATAAGTAACAATAGGAATGTGAACATTCCTGGTTCCAAATCTGGAGAAAGACATAGGTTCACATCTTGGCTCTGCCATGTTTTAGCTGTGTGATTTCGGACAGCACCTTTCTTCCTGAGCCAAATCTTCCTCATCTGAAAAATGGGGATTGTCAATGGTCCTGTCTCGCATGAGTAAAAGATTAAGAGAGAGGCTGTGTGTGAAGTGCTGAGTTCACCGTTCCTTACAGGCTCTCCAGGAAACATGGGAGACAGCCCCAAGCTCTAACTCTGAGAGGAAAGAAAAGAACTGGAAGGGCAGGAAGGATTTATGTCGGCCTCTGTGCAGGAACAGAGCAGACACACAAAGGAGTGGGAAGAAAAGGAGAGAAAGAAGCACGAAGGGAAGTAGGTGGTGATAAAAACAGAATACGAGGCAGTCACAAAAGATCACATAGTGTAGGATTCCACTTATACGAAATGTCCCAAACAGGCACAGTACTATAGAGACGGAAAGCAGATTAGTGGTTGTCTAGGACTGGGGGCAGGGGGATTGGGAGGGACTGAGGGGAAACAGGGAGTGACAGTAAATGTGTACAGGGTTTCTTTTTTGGGCGACAAAAATGTTCTAACACCGAATGTGGTGATGGTTGCACAACTCTGTAAATGTAGCAGAAACCACTGGATTGTATAAATCAGTGAATTGTACGGGTGTGAATTATACCTCAGTAAAGCTGTCATAAAGAAGGGAGGGAGGGAGGGAGAGAAGGAAAGTACGGAGGGAGGGAGGGAGGGAGGAAGGAAAGAAAGAAAGAGGAAGAAAGAAAGAGAAACAAATAAATAAAGGGAAAGGAAAGAAAAAAGAGAAGAGCAGAGCAGAAAGGAGGGAGGGAGGGAAAGAAGGAAATAAGGAAGGAAGGAAGGAAGGAAAGAGAAGGAAGCAAGAAAGAAAAAGAGAAAAGAAAGAAGGGAGGGGAGAGGAGAGAAAAGGAGAGAAGAGGAGGAAGGAAGAAGGAAGAGGTCAGAAGAGAGAAATGAGAGAAGCAGGGATGGTACCACGGCTCGAGAATCACAAGTAGGCAAAGGGACACGAGATCCACTCACCTCAACCTTCAGACCTGCCTGGAAGCTGATGCCATCAGGGATGGTCGTCTGGAATTCGGCAATGGTGTAATACTCTTCCTCCACTTGGGGTGGAATGGGAGGCTTGGGCAGGTTGAGACCACGAGGCTGGCACAGTTAAACACAGTGCTAAGTCCAGGGTAAATCTGTTACCATTGGCTGAAGGGGGAAGGTGCTAAGGGACTGGGGCACATGAACACCCTTGAGGGGTGCTGCTGGACCCATCTGGATTCTAAGGGACAAAACACAGAGGATTGCTCGGATCCTTATCTCCTGGATGGGTCACTGGCCTGTCAGCTTCAGAGTGAGGAAAAACATGGGACATTTACCTACAGTCATGACAATCTGGGGCAGGCCAAGCGAGGGTTGTGGAAAGAACACAGCTTTGCAGGTCAGACCCATCTGGGCTGGAAATACTGCTTATGTGTGCTGTGCACATTTGGGCAAATCCCTTCCCTTCCGGAGCCTCATTTTCATCTCCTGTAAAATGGAGATCTACTTGGTGGGTCCCTGTAAGCATTCAGTAAGTCAAGATCATGAAGCACCCAGCACATTGCAGGGTGCCCAGCAGGTGCATAATAAATGGTCAAAGCCTCATTTTTCAATGGTTAGAAAGGTACCCGAAGAATTACAAACGGAGTTTGGCAGTAAATGACCAGCATGGTACTACTCACAATATTTGTGCCTCACCCCAGCTTTGGTTTCAAGTCACCCTCTTTGAGAAGACTGATTGAAGATGAAGCAAAGTGGGCTCAGGAAGCAGAGAGCACACCCTGAGACTTAACTGTCCCAAAGCCACAGGTAACTTGTGTCCCTCCCTCCCTCCCCCACTCCCCTGGGATCCAAGCCTTTCCCCTGTTGCGGGGACCGGCACGTCTATGGCCTGCTTCATGAGGCAGCCATGTGGAGGGGAAAGAGAGCATCTCTGGAAAGGGCAAGGTGGGTGTGATGGTCCCAGTTCAGGTCGGGGGCTGGCTTCCTGGCAGCAACAGTCCACTTACTATGGTCATATCCCGGCGCGGAGGCGGTCTCTGCCTCATCTTGGGTGATCCTACAAAGAGACGAGATTTTATTGCACACACGTGCAGAATGCTACAGCTGTGACTCCTGAGGGGGACACCAGGAGAGATCCGTTCTGTCTTACAGAGGACCAGGCATCACGCTCCGGGCAGGTATTACTGAGCCACTGAGACCCTTCTCGTGGGAAGGACCAGCCTGACCGGGAAGGGGCGGCTCAGACTCGGCTCAGGACTCGCAGGACTGCCCATGTGCTGGAGCGATGTGACGCTTTCCAGGGAGGCAGAAAAGCGTAGGCTTCAGTGTAACACGGGGGTTGGCTTGCCACCAGTCATCTGACTATGACCCACAGGCCCCATTTGTAGAAGGGCGATGATGCCGGCCTCCCAAGGTCCGTGGCGGAGGTGAGAGCCAACAGGCACTCGGCACCCAGAGGCTGTGCAATACCAAAAAATTAAACAAATCCGAACTGATGACATCGAGGGCTCTGGAATCGGGCTGCCCTCACTCTGGGTCTCTGGGTCAAGAGGATAACTGCAGTGGTCCAGGATCCCGGCTCAAGGCAGAGCATGGGTCACCCCATGAGCTGGCTCAGCATGGGTCCACACAGATGGCTAGTTTGGCAGTTGGGATGTGGAGAGGACTACTAATCTCTTAAATGCCTATCTCCTCTGTCTTCTGTTCGAATTCAATAGCAACGGTTCTAGATGGACACTCCGCTGCCTCCAGAAAGACAGCCTTCCTCAGATTCCCTTGCAGCTGGGTATTGCTAGGTGATGACTCAGTTCTGGCCAGTGGGACATGGCAGAGAGCAAAGTGTGTAGCTTCTGGGTCAAGTCCTCTACTTCTCCCTGCCTTCTTCATTGGCTGGATGAATGGGGTGCCATCTTGGACCAGAAAGATGAGGGCAACACAAGACAGACACCATGTGACAGGACTCCTGTCTCACGGAGCTGCTGCAGAGGCTCTGCACATAAAGCAGGACCGCTTTGTGAGAAAGACACAAACATCTAAATTATCTGAGCCTCTGTTATTGGGGGGGTATGTGTGTGTGGCAGGGGGCGGGGAGTGTCTTTGCCTGAGCATCTGAACCTATATCCTCACGAAGACTTGGGTTTCAGATTCTCATTTGTTCTAGTGTTAATGGGAATCCTCCTGGGTTCTTGCCCATGACAGAACCACAGAGAGCAGGGGCTGGCCAAAACCAACCCCTCCACCCCCATGGCATGTCAATGTCTTTCTTCTGAGAAATCAGCTGAGCAGAGGATTGAGAAATTCTTGAGTTTCAAGGATTCACTGACTTCTAGAAGTTTGCTGGAGAAATAGCTGGAGAAGCCCAACCAGGGGGAGGTCAGGGGACTTTCCCAGTAGTCAGATTCCTCCTGGCCCCTGTGACCAGGCCAGGGCCACGTGCCTGAGTCTAGGGTCCTGTGCCAGTCACAGACAAAAATAAGGAGCCCGCCTTTTAGGTGTGTCGGGAACATTAAAGAGAAATGTCAACATGGGAAGTGCTAGAAAGGAAGATGGGTAAAGAACTGTGGTTAGAGTGAACTCAACACAAGGTCAACAACTTCTGGCTCCGAAGTGTGGCCATGCAGAGAGGGCACATGTGCTGGAGTCAGCTGGGCCTGGGTTCAAGTCTTGGCCCCACTGTTGACTAGCTGGGTGGCCCTGGATAAACCACCTTACGTCTCTGAGGCTAAGGAGACTAATTTTAAGATTCCTGGCACACAGTAGGGCTTGAGGAACAGCAGCTCCTGCGATCACCATGAGATGGTGGAAAACCATGGTCTAGAATTTCTACCTAAGATGTCTGTGCATGTTTTCCTATCTACAGGTGTGGGGCAGCAGGGCTGTTGTGAGGATGAGGGACACCATGTGAAGAGCACGGAGCCTGGCACACAGTAGCCACGCAGCTCCCCGGAGCTTGGCGGGCTGGGGGGGGGGGCAGTCACTCACTCTGTTTGATGTCGCCATCAGGCACTGGGCGGCCTTCGAGCCGGCCGTCCCGTTGGTTGTTGAGCAGCTCCCTGTCCCGGCCCATTGAACTCTGCTGCCGGGAAATGCCATCCAGGTCTAGAACGCCGGTGTGGGCGGATGAACCAGGGCCCAGCTTTGGGGGTAAGGGCTCCCCACTGTTCTTCTTCAGGTAGGAGGCTGGGGCCCAGCCCTCTTTGCCCTGGTACCTGGGAGGAGGAAGGATGCTGGACAGGCTGCTCCGCCAGGCCCATGGGAAGAAGCTGTGCTCCAAGTCCCAGATGGCAGGAATGATGGGTCAGAGGCTGGCGCACCCCTTGCTGCCCTCTTGGCATTCAAGGCCTTTCTAACCCGGCCTCTACCAGCGTCCTTAGCTTCATCCCTCACAGCAACCTCATGTCCTCCCCACTCCAAAAGGCTTGTAGTCTCCCCAATACACTACCATCTTTCGTTTCCCCAGCCTCTGCTCTTGGAAATCCTGTGTTTGTAAAGCACCTTCCCTCTCTCCTCCTGTTCTTCTACTTAATTAATGTCATTTCCTTTCTCAAGCCTTTCCTGAGCCTCACAGAGAATGAAGTCCTCCTTTCACGGTGCTCCACTGTCTCCCAAACACACCACCCCCGCCAGCAGCTACGACACACGGCCACACTTGGCTATGGCCGTTCTGTGTCCCCAATGACCCCCCACACACACACACTTTGGGCAGAGATGGCACTGGATGGATCACTGTATGGAGAGAGCCTCAGGGCCAGTGAACTGAAGGAAGAAATGAAAGGACGAGTGGACAAAGTCCCCATGGGCCTGGCAAAGGCCAGCAGCCATAAACACCCACTACGCTCACTGTCCAGTTACCGTCACTGCAGTGATGACGACAACGACCATGATAACTGGCACTTAGTGGGCACCTCCCGCATGCCAGTCTGTTCTAACCACTTTATAGCTGGGACGTATTTCATCCATCCAAGCCTGGGAGGCGGCAGAAATGGATGCAGACCCAGTCTGTGCTCCTAACCTCTGCATGTCGCTGCCTCTTCCCAGCAACCCCAGCTTCCAACACAAAGGCTGGCAAGGGCAGGGCAGACTCCAGTCACACTGGTTAACATGTAGGTTAAATGTGTTCCCTTCACAGGGGAGTGAAGCCTGTCAGGGGCTGGTGCCAGGGCCTGCTCAGAATCAGCTGGTGGTCCCTGAACTGCACAGTGACTGAGACCCTGACATAGGGCTCACTGAATTCCAAAAGGGATTCAGTGAGTGAGATGCTCACTTAATTCTCTGCACGACAGAGCTCAGTGTAACAGCATGACCAGAGGGGTCCATGTGGACCAGAGGAACTCTGGGGCCCGCTTGCACCAGCTTGCGATGGTCAGCTGTGTCCATCTCTCCCAAACCCCCAGTTACTGATGCTGCATGGGTGCCCTGAAGTCACCCGATGGGAGCAGTTACACTATAGAAATTGGCTAACACGCAACTCAAGGGCATCATTCCCTTGGTGTTAACTAGTTACAAGCAACCCACTGGTCGGGCCCACAAAACAGGTGCCCACACCTTTGGGGATGGTTAAGAAGACCTAAATGACTAGAGAGGACATACGGCAAGGCCAAATCTCTTGTCAGGAATCACTTTAAGAACTAAATGACACTGTGTTTCAATAATAAAAAGGTCCTTGATAGCTGGAAGCCAATTTCTACGAGAGAAATCTGCAGAATTTGGTGTCTTTCAGTCTTAAAATAGCCTCTGAGAGGGAATAAATCTTGTCCTTGCTGGAAACCGTCATGCTATGTCCCATTCAGGCCCTCGGTACAAGACAGCTGACCATCTGCGGTCATAAAGCTGTAAGCAGAGCTAACACATGGAGGGGGAAGGGCTCTGGGGGAGAAAGGTACTAGTTTAAATCCCGGCTCTGTCCCTTTCTAGCTTCAGTCGAACCTTCAGATGATGGCACGCTTCGGTAACGCCCTACAGCAACCTCATGAGGGACTGGTGAAGCCACACCTGAACTCCAGAGCCACAGAATTCTGGGATAATTAGTTAAGTATCTTATACCATCTATACTTATGTTAGGTGTCACCGTCCCCACTCCTGCTTCAAGCCTCAGTTCCCCAGTCCCCTCTCTCAGGAAGCCTTCCTGACCCCTGGGCTGAGGAGCCCCTCTTCTGGGGTCTGGGTCCCCACGCATCCCCATCCTGGAACTGAGCCTGACTTCTGTGCCTCCACTGTGAACCAGTGTCTTTCTCCCATCCAAGTACTAACCAGGCCCGACCTTGCTTAGCTTCCGAGATCAGACGAGATCGGGCGCGTTCAGGGTGGTATGGCCGTAGACAACCAGTGTCTTTCTCATCGTTGACTCCCCAACTCCCAGAATAGGGCTTGGCTTGAACACATTCTTGGTGTGTGTGTTGTTGAATGAACGGACAAAGTGCCACAGGCTCGGCCCCCGACGAGAAGTCCTAATGCCCTGCTTCACGTTGCTGACCAGACACCAGGTCTCAGGGACCTCAGGCTTCTTTCCTTGTACTCATTTCTTGCAGCCACAGCCTGCCTACTTAGGGTGACCAAGGAGGGGTGCCCAGGACTTTCATTACCAAAATTGGGAAAGTACCATAGAGGCCAGAATGAGTTTGCCATCCTACAAACTTGTGGGGTGCTGATTCATCACAGCAGGCAAAAGGGCTGTGACAGAGATCTAGAAAGCTGGTCTCCTGCTTTTACCACCGGACTCCGTGAGCTGAGGGCATGTGATCAGCCCAAGGATGAATTACAGTCCCTGTGGCGTTTCGCAATGCACTGGTCTCAGAGTGAGGATGGGGAGGGAATCACTCACACCGGGCAGCACAGCTTCTCTTTATGAGAATTACATGGAGGTGGAAACCAGTCTTGGTTAACCAGGTTATGGCCATCTGTGTGTTTGGAGATCTTGCTTATTATTGATTTTTAGAGAAGGATTTGGATAGGGAGGGAGGTCAAAGGACACCAAGAAGCATCTTTTTGTGGCTCAGGCGAAAACCTTACCCCATCCATCAGCAATCACTTACAGACCTCTAGGCACCCAGAGACCATGTGGCCTGAAACCCACCCAGCTGCAGCAGGTACCTGATCTTCCACCAGCCTTCCAGGTTTTTCTGAATGACTTCCACCACGGCCCCTCTCTCTAGATTCATTTCATCCTGGTCACGAGCTGTGTATGGGTAGATAACTGTGTACTTCTCCTCTGTGGGAACAAAGGGATGGGGGGTTAAGTCAAGGACGGTGAGAGTCCTGGGATGCAGATGATCCCAAGGCTGTGATCCACGAGATGCCTTGCCCATCAGAGTTGGATTTCCTCCAGAAATTTCTGGGGACCCTCTAGGCCCTCATTTGGATCTGGACTGCCCTGTCCAAGCAGAACAGGATGCAGGACAAAGGTCAGGTCCCAGTCCTTCTGAAATCCCTCACTGTCACACATTCATCCTCACCTTCCTCAAAGCTGTGCTTCAAAGTCACCTTCCTTGACTCTGCTTTATGCAGTATTCAGACCCATGGCAACCTCATCCCCTTACCTAGGTTTATTCCCTGCCCCCAACCAGGAATTGCCTTCTAACACAGCATATAATTTCTTATTTATTGTGTTTTGTGTCTGTGTTCCTTGCTAGAATATAAACGCCATGAAGGCAGGGATTTGTGTCTGTCTTGTTCACTCCCCTGCCTCTAGCACTGGGCATGGTCCCAGGAATACTGTGTAACTTCAGTAAATTAGTCAAGGTTTAGTAAATGAAGGGCCTGGTGAGAGCCACCTTGCTCAAGCCAGAGGGGATTAACTCATCTGTGGCTGCTCCACAGTTTGGCTGATGGAGGGTCAGGGAGTCAGGGATGAGCTGAATCTTTGGCAGCAGGTTTCAGGCTTAAATCATTATCAAGGAAGCAAGAGCTGGCGATTTTCTTACTTCCTTCTTTCCTCCCTCCCTCTCTTTCTTTTAAAAAATTTTAAAAGAAGACTTTATTTGAGAGTGAGAGAGAATGAACAGGGGGAGGGAGAAGCAGACTCTCTGCTGAGCAGGGAGCCTGACATGGGGCTCGATCCCAGGACTCCAAGATCATGACTAGAGATGAAGGCAGATTCTTAACAAACAGAGCCACCCAGGCGCCCCATCTTTTTTTTTTAATTTAAAAAAAAAAAAAAAAAAGATTTATTTATTTATTTGACAGATAGAGATCACAAGTAGTTAGAGAGGCAGGCAGAGAGAGAGAGAGGAGGAAGAAAGCTCCCCGCCGAGCAGAAAGCCCGATGCAGGGGCGCCTGGGTGGCTCAGTGGGTTAAGCCGCTGCCTTCAGCTCAGGTCATGATCTCAGGGTCCTGGGATCGAGTCCCACATCGGGC